AATGTTCTAAGGGGAGAGAGACAAGGTATGTCTGGGGGTGTGTGTATGTAAAACAAAAGCTGAGCATATTATAAAAGATGACCTTAACTGAGCCAAATCAAATTGCTTAAGGAATCAACTGTATTTATGCAACCTCCTAAATATCAGGCTTTGTTTTTGCAAATATTAGAGCTGAATTTCCTTCCTAAAACTGAAAAAGAAAAACCCTAAATCCAGCCAACCGAAAAAAAACCCCACCACCATCACTGAAAAAAAAAATCCACCCATAAAAAAACCCAGACAACAAACTGCAGAACCAAGCATCTGTGCATGTTACTTTAAGATATCAAACTCCTGATTTTAACTAGATTTTCTCAGCTGGGTCCTATTCTAGGCTCTGGACTAGCTTGTCCCCAGCAGAAATGCATACCTAAAAGGACAATATTTTAAAGAGAAATTTTGAAAGAGAAGGCAGAAAAACATTTACTTTTAATGACCAACGGGGGCAGCCATAGTATTTTATAGCAAGCACAAACCATCTGTTTTCATCTTACTTCAAATGTAGATTCTGAATCAAAAGGTATCATAGTAAAAAACTAAAAGAAAGCACAAAAACTGTACAATTTCCTAAGCATGTGTAGATTCATCCAAAAGGATGGATGGAGCTAAAAGAAAGTACGAATTAAATTTTGTGCCTTAACTAACAAATACAAAAATTAAGTCCGTTTTCTTCCTCCTCCCCTCAGTTCCTGTTACACTTACTCCCTTTGTGAGATTACATTTCATGTAATTACATTTTATGTACTCACTTTATGTCATGTACATAAATTGGTAAATCCCCCACAGAAAAGTGCAGCTCAAATAATAGCAAGTTGAGCAAACGGATTGAAAAACATAGAGCTGAAGAAACCAAAGGAGGGAAAGTAAAAAACCTGCCCAGTACTTAAGCAATTCAGCCTTTACATTTCTAAATCACTTCAGATGGAGAAAATACAAAGGCTCTTCTTTTCTAAAAGCTGTACAACACTGAGCATTGGGCAAGAGAATGGGAAGGTCTGGATGGTCAGGTAACAGATTATTCTTTCACCAGTAAATCTTGCCTTGGCAGTGTTACAACAGTAGATAGTCTAAGAGCATTATTACCTACCACAAAGACAGTGGAAGTTCCTTTATTCCAGTATATGTATACTTACTGGCTGGAGGTAGGACAGCACATAGAAGACAATCAAGTTGTCCAAAAAGTAAAGAAAGGCAGGAATTGACCATTTCATCAAATTACAAAAATTCTTCCAGGAAAGACATTCAAAGGGATGATCCATACAGCCCTTTTCTGAAAGGAAATCAGTAATAAAGACATCTTTATTATTATCAAAAGCCCATTCCCTTATAACAGTATAGATACCACTGTTCTCTATTCAGGAAATCACTGAACAGAAAAAAAACAAGGTATCACAGCCCTGTGGCAACATGGAGGGCAGCTCCAGGGCACAACACAGAGCTAGAGCAGCAATCTTCTGCCTACAGACATTCACTTCCTTGCCTCAGCAGAGAAAACATCACAGAACTTGTTACCCCTATCAATGGGAACAAAAATTCAAATATCAACCATTCTTTGAGGGCCGAAAAGCATCCCAGAGTCCCCACACAAATAATGGCATCATTACTGGCTATCATTTTTCTGTTGATTATCGATCGAATCTAGAACTAAAACAATGGCACAGACAGTGGGTCCCTTCGTGGAGCACCCAAAGGTCAGCCAGTAATGTCAGAAATACCAATTAAACCAGAACTCACTAGGAAGAAAGAAGAAAGAAAGGACAAAGCACAAAGAATGACATTTACGTAGGTATTCAGGACATAAACATTAGGAGGAAGACTGTGATAAACCTTAGAGCTAATGACAAAAGTCCTTTGTTAAGACACATTTAAGACTATAAAACGTTATCTAATCCTCTCCTGAAGCATCAACACATTGAGTTCAGCAAAACCCAAACATCTGGAAGGAAAAAAACATGGACAAAAACAACAGTTCAATTTAACATGAGCTTTCACTGCAGGACACACTCTTCCAGTTTAAATATCTGTTCTCTACCACTTTGAAATGCTATGAGGTTAATCTCTCAGAGTTTTTACATCAGGACGGAAAAGTCGAGAAAGAAAAAATGAAAAATCGCTTGCAATGAAAAATCTGTGGGTAATGGAAGTGTCATCTATCATAATAAAACCCCAAACAAAACGAATGTATTTGAAGGACAGCAAAGCTTAGGAAGTCAACATATTTTAGTTATTTTAAACATAGGTACTTACGTTTTTTCCTCTTCCATAGTGCCAACACCACACACAGGACCAGTTTTACTACTTCAGAACACATGTTCACTGTTGTAGGAAGGTAATCATATTTGTTATCTGTGGGATTAGGCAAATCAGAGACAGTACACAATCAGATTCTGACTCTTGCATTCCTGATCAGAGCAAGAACCTATTTTAACCACCCCAATCAGAATTTTGGTCATTTTCCATAAATGCAAAAGGCTATATCAGCACTTTCATTATAAATATTCCAAATTTTATGATATACAGCTTCCTGAATAGCCTCCTTTTTGGGTTGAAATCTTTCCTCATTTGGTCCCAGTTTACAGCAGAACTTTTTCATAAGGACTTAAGAACACTGTTCATTTAAAAAAAATAAAATTAAATTTAAAAAAGCAGGAATGTTTTCTCCAAAGAGTAATATGGTATTTTTTACCCTCAGAAAAAAAATGGCTTCCAGAATGACCTTTTTTCCAGGACTAGCAATACTAGTCAGTTTTAGCACACCCACTGTGATACCACTTTTCTCCTAAGCCTGTTGCAGTAAAAATATTTCAGTCAAGACACGTACCATCACTAGTGCTTACACAACACTTTAGCCTTTGAAAAATCAGCTCTAACATAATTCACTGCCTCATCTTTTAAGGGTAGCTCATACACCTTACAACCCAAATTATCACTTTATGTTAGAGCAGTGATTACACAGAGACTTTCCAGTGCAGAAACACGTGTCCCTATACATATAATAGGATGTTTACTCAAAGAACTCTGAGGTGGAGAAGTAGGTTTTTTGTGTATCTGTTTTAGCCCAAAACATCAACTCTTTCTTATTTGAGGTGTACCATGTTTGCCCAACAGTACCTTCATTGGCAGAATACTTCATCAGGAGGATTCTACTTGAACCCAAGACAATAAACACTCCTCCAAGCAGAAAGGTCTGGTTGATTGCCTTGGTGCAACACACAAATCGACTACGGCACTCGAACTTCATCCTGCTGTCTCGCTGTCAACGCCCTTTGGATGGCAAGATGAAAACACACTATAAGTAGTACTTCCAGGAACTGTTTAACCCAGGTGAAACAAGTGTGTTTTACTGCTTTGTGTTAATTTATATAAAGATGTTCACATCGCAAGCCATGATCTTGTTCTACAGTTATTGTTTTCTTATTTAAAAAAAAGAAAAAGGGAATCACACAATCATAATGAAAGAATCCAGCAGGCTGAAAAAGACCTCTGAGAACATCAAGTCTAACCAGTGACTGAACACCACCTTGTCAACCAGACCATGGCACTAGGTGCCACTTCTAGTCTTTGCTGAAACACCTCAAGGGACAGTGAGTCCACCACCTCCCTGTGCAGTCCATTCCAATGCCCAATCACCCCTTTTGTGAAGAACTTCTTCCTAATGTCCAACCTAAACCTCCTCTGGTGCAGCTTAAGACTGTCCTCTTGTCATTAGTTGTCCAGGAGAAGAGGTAGACCCTCACCTGGTTGCAACCTCCTTTCAGGTAGTTGTTGAGAGTGATAAGCAGAGAAGGATACGCTACGAGGACCGCCAAAGGGGTGTAAACAATGTGTATACGCGGGGACTCTTGAAGGTGGCAGAAAGAGGCTGGTTTCCCAGAAGACTGCATCAATGGAGTACCGATCAGCTAAGAGGATTAAATAAATCACACGCTTATTTTTCTTAAATATTTTTTTTAACGTTCTTGCTCCTAATCCCAGCAAGGAGAAGCGCTACCAGAGCGGAGCGAGAGCAGCATCTGAGGGATGACCCGGCGTTCACTGAGGCGGGGGAGGCACAGGGACGGCTGGAGCAGCACCCGAGCCGCGTCCGCCGCCTCCAGCGCCGCCGTTACTCGCCCGGCCCGTTAACGGGCCCCGGGGCCTGAAAAACCGCCCGGGAGAGAAGGAAGGGGAGAATCCCTCCGGGGCGGCTGCGGGCTGGGCTCCGGTGGCGGTCCGTGCCAGCCCTGCGGGAGCGCGGGGAACCGGAGCGCCGGCCCCGCGGGGGACACGCACCCACCTCTCCGCCGAGCGAGCACCACCCGCCCGGCTCTGCCGCCCGCCACGTCGCTGCCGCGGGCTGCAGGCGGGAGCGGCGGGGCCGCGCCCGCGCGGGGCGAGCGGGGCTGCGGGACGGCAGCGCCCGGGGCTCGGACGCCGTGGCTAGGCGCTCCCGGGCGCTCCCGGGCGCTCCGAGGCGCGGCGGATCCCGGGAGGCTGCGGCACCGCTCTCCCCTTCGCTCATCCCCGCGACGCGGCCCCGGCGCTCCTGACTGGGCTCCCCAGAGCCCGCCCGAAACCCCACACGGATCCCCCCGCGCAGCCCCAGCCCCAACTCACCGCCCCCCCACCGGCCTCACCTGGCGGGGCGGGGCCGCGTGCGCGCGCCCCCCGCGCGGCCCCTCCCCGCGCCACTGCCCCGCCCCGCCCCGCGCGGGGGGCGCGCGCCCTCACACCCCACCCTCGGGCAGAGGGCCAAGCCCCGCCCCCGCCGGGCACGTGACGGGCTCGCGAGCTCCGCCCCCCTGCTCGCGGCCCCACCCACCCGCGTGAGCCCCGCCCCTGGGCCCGCCCCCTCCCCGCCTTCCCTCTCTGTGCTCGCGCCCGGTGTGGCGTCACGCGCGCGCGACATGAGGGGTGGGCGGTAGCGCGGGTCACGTGACCGCAGGGGAGGCGCGGGCAGCGCTGTGACAGAGGGGCGGGGGGCGGGGGAGTGTCCGTCTGTCGGTCCGACCGACCGACCGACCGACCGACCGACCGACCGACCGACCGACCGACCGACCGACCGGCTGCCGCCATGCAGAACGTCATCAACACCGTCAAGGGGAAGGCTCTGGAGGTGGCCGAGTACCTCACGCCCGTGCTCAAGGTGCGTTGCTGCGCGGGAGCGGGGCTGGGGAGGGGGGACGGGACACCCGCCGGCGCTCCCTGCCCTTGTCCGGGCCCCAGACAGCCCAGGGGGCGGCCGCGGGTCCCTGAGGGCGCCGTGCTGGGTGTGCTGGGGCAGAGCCGTCGGCCCTCGCCCCGCACCGGGCCGTGCGGGATGGAGGGAGCCCGGGCTGGGGCTCACATCCCGCGGGGAGCGGGGAGCACCCACCTGGGAGGTGCGGGCCTACCGAAGTACGGGTGTTGCTGGTCCTGCTTCTTAAGGAATGACTTATTTGCTGCTGGTTTCCGTTAAAGTGGCGAAACTTTAACTGGTTGTGTGACCAGGAACTGAAATGCAAGCGTACAGCCAGGCTGGAGCCTGCTTTCAGGAATGCGTTGCAATGGTTATTTTGGGTAAGAGGGCGACTTCTTCACCCGACATAAAAAAACCCAAACAAAACAAATCACTTCTAGATTATGTGAGCAGATGTTAAGTTATGGAGCACATCTTATTTCTGTGTCAGAATTGCAGTATTGCTACAAGCCTCAGAGTGTTACAGTAACTGAATGGTAGAAATGAGCCATTTGTTTCTTATAATAGTCTGCTTGTAAAGGTGGACAGCACATCTGTTATAATTCTTGTTACTGCTTATTTGGGTAGAGACAATTTGTGATTTTCTGCAGTTGTTAGACTGCATCCCACTTTCTGAGTCCTATTTACAAATATTTTTTAATGTAAACCCCAACTTTGTGTATGACAGCTTAACTTCCTAGCAGCTTTCTCACTATTGATTTTCACACTTTCAAATGTTTTTGAAAAAATACTTCTCCTGTACTTGTTTATGACAGCAGTCTCTCTGCCTGTGGCTTTGTGGTTTGACCTTTTATGTGCTCTGTGCTCTGCAGCTGAGATCTTTGGGCAGAAAGCAGTGATACTCAATTACTAATTGCACTTGTCCCTCTGTGGTATGTAATGTGCACTTGTCTGGATAGTGGACTTTTTCTAGAGTTGCCCACCAACGTGACACGTGTGGGCTGCAGTGAAGTTGTGGCCTGAAAAGGTGAAGTGACTTGTTTACTGTAGTGTAGTTGTTGCAGAACTGGTGTAATAGTGGAGGAATTCTTGTGTCCTGATGAACTATTGAGAGGAAGCAGGAGTAGAATGGAATGGGAGGTTATACTATTATGAATATATAAGCCCCTTTGCAAGGGGTTGAAACAAATACTCCAGCTTGGTTACTTTAGAAAGAAGCTAGACCTGTGTCTCTCACTAGCTTATGTACCACGGAATGCACAGAGAGGAAAAAGTGATTTACCCTCAGGGAACAGAGGATGGATATTTTACATGTTTTCTTTCTGCAATTCCAGAAACATAAGTTTGTGCATGTTACCTTTTGCTTATGGTTCATTTTGAGGTTAAATAGTAAGTTGTCTCCACTGTGGTGTTGCACAATATGTTATTGAGGGTTCTGAGTTTTACGGCAGTTCAAGTGGCTTTGGTTTCTGTCAGCTAGCACATCATGATGTTATGATGTTTGTACAGCTGCAGTTTTGCCTATCTTCATCTTGTTCTCAAATGTGTCTTCTTTAGCAATGAGGGAGAAAGGCAGTGTTCAGTACTGTATGAAACAGGTGTGCTCGTTTCATTTTACATGGCACATGTGATATCATGCACCACGGTGAAGGAACAAGAATAACCTAGTAAGCAGTGGCTGGTTTTCTTCAATGTTTCTTGACTCTTTGAATAAGGTGAAGTTGTGACCAAAACCAAGATATTTTCAGTTGCTGCTTTTAGTCTTGATAGGAAAAAAAAAAGTTCTTTGGCAAGAAGTCAACTGTACCATGGTTGAAATTGTATTCTTTTTTAAAAGCCCTTTTTGGATTGCTCTAATGCTAGGGAACAGTAGATTTCCTTGGTACTTGGGACTTTTCTGAAGAAAACAAATATGCAGCCAGAAGTCAAAACAAAATACACTTCATCTAGATTTGGATATGATAAAATATGTTTTATCTTTAACCTTTGTACATGTTGCCTTTAAGTACTTTATTTCTTCGTGCAGAACTAAGTCGTGTGTCTGGTTGTCATCTATTCTTTCACCCATAAAAAACCCCCATGACAATATGCAAAAATTAAAGCTCGCTCCATGGGTTGCACGGTGAAAGCAAAGAAATAGACATTAAAAGAAAATTAATAAATGAGCCCTTCTGGGTAAGTTTTTCTAGCCCAGAGAAAAGTCGTTTTGGTCATTCACTTCATGACCTTTTTTAACTGCAACACCTTGTGTTAATGCATTGCAGTGCTGTTCAGTGCCTAGAACTTTAGGGTCCTGACCATGAGAATCTCTGTCTCTTACTGCAAATGTTATATTGAGTGCTGGGGATCTTCTCCTCATCATTGGTGTAATTGGTGGTAGCAAAAATGTTGTATATGTGATCATTTCTATAATACCTCACATTCTGCAACAATTAATTTTAGTGAGCCTTACACTGTAGAATAAGTAAGCTGCCTATCAGCCCTGGCAGAGGTTGCCTCCGGACTGATCCGTGGATCTCTGGAGAGACCTCTTTGCAAGACAAAAGTAGAGCAGATGTTTGTCTTTCCAGTAAAGTCAAGTAGATTGATTTGTCATCAGTTCTCAAAATTTTTAAACTCTTTTTTTTTCTTATTGCAGGAGTCCAAGTTTAAAGAAACTGGAGTAATTACCCCTGAAGAAGTAAGTGTTTAGAAAGAACAAAGTATTTTGAGAGTAATGATAAATTTTTTACACAAAATGGAATGTTCATCTCAAACAGTCCACGTCTTTGCCAAATAATTGTTGCCTCTTGAAACGATTTGTATGAAAAGACACTTGTAAATGGCCTTCTTACTCAACAGATGAAGTATATCAGCATAATTCCTCTTGAGATGACACTTGACATCTGAAAGTAGGATGCTTTTTTCCTCTGTTATGTTTTTAAAAGATTGAAAGGAAGCTGGGTCAGCAGCTCCATTTCTCATGGGAGTTCAGGACTAAAGCAGGAATATATTGATCTAAGAAGTCTTTCCCCTGAGCAACTCAAAGGGGAACCTTTTTCTTTGGAACAGTCTTTACTTACCTCACTTGTGGTTCCTTCCAAGGCTCTGGCAAGACCATTACATATACTTGACCACACCAAGTATCTAATGATTATTATTTTTCCCTCCTCTTCTCTGTAGGCTGCTTCAGGCTGGTTGTATCTTGCATTGCTGCCAAGCAGTTGTATTTTTTTAAGGACTTTGCTGCAAAGAGAAACAAATGGGATTTTTTTCTGGACTAGTAAAAACACTGGTTGGGTGGTGCTGTTTTGACTTCCCTGTTCTGCTTTTTTCTCATACTAAAATGCTGCTGATCTGCAAATACATTGTCTTTACAGAGGTCTAAGAAAACAGTGTTAAGATTATTATGTAGAATGAAAGAAAAATGAAACAGAATGCAGAAATGTGAAGATGAGGTGGAAAAAAATGGAGCAAATGATGACTGATGCAAGTAGATAATGTGGACAGAAGTATCTTTCCTATCATTGGTACCTTGCATTTTTCTGCTGTGTGGTATGGCAAGCAAGCACTGCTGCTTTCTGTGACCCAGAAGAGTACCACGCTGACAAACAGGCTTAGCAACACGTTCTCCTGTTCTGATAACCATGCTTAGGTCTGTGTGTATATAAATATTTATATCTCATATATTTAATAGTAATACATGAGCTTCATTATATACAAACAAGAATCACATCATTTCTAGGCAAACATTCAGCTAATACTTATTCCCTTCTTGATTTATGGGAGAAAACTTTGCAGGACTACTGAAAGAAAAGGTCTTTTCTATAGAATGTAATAATAACCACGCTGTATTACATGACAGTTTGCAGCATTTAAACACCAGTAAGACTCTGAATAGTATGTGTTGTCTGTGTCAAGTTAGATGCTGCTGGGATGAATAAATTTGATCCTTCAAAACAGTAGTCAAGGGTAACCAGTTATACAGCGAGACTAAATTTTTGTTAAATTTAGATAAAGCTGGAGTGTGGATCTGCTGATTGTCCCTTTGACAGTCTTTTGTCTTCCGTGATGATTTTGATCTTTATATTGTAATGATTGCTAAAGAAGGGTTGAAAGTCATCGATAGGGATGTTATCTTTGAATGAGTTTGGATTTCTTGGGTAATTTTAGCTGTATTCTAGCCTGAGATACTATAGATGTTATAGATTTTATAGATTTTTGTGAGGTCCGTGTGGATTGCCTCTGAAGATGAATCAATTAGCAGTGAGGCTAAAGATGACTCATTAATCAAACTCAACACCTACTTCCTCTTTTAATATATCTGTGTACTTGATTTAACTGCAACAAATTCTTGCCTGCTATGAGTTCTTACTAGTTAATACCTCCAAAAGTTGACACCTGTTTTAATTATGTATGTAAATACAGGGAAATCTTTAAAATCATTCTTTCCAGGAGTAGAAATAAGATGTCCTAAAATTGATCTCCTTCCACTTTGCACTATTGATTTGGGAATGAAATAGTGTCGACAGTGCTTGAGAAACAGAAAGTGAAACCAGCTAGATAATTTTGCTACCTAAGCTGAAAAAAATGTAAATGGCATTTCAAGGGTTGTTTTAGGGTTTTATATCTATGAGACCCATGAACAACATTTTGTGGTTTTTCATCTTTAATTTCAATAATATATTTCAACATTGGTGTCACAAATAGAATTCCAGTTCCTTGAACAGAAAATTTTAAATAATTCTGGAGTTTCATTTGTTGTTTGTCATGCAAAGGGTAATGAGTTTTAAAATTTCCATGTGTCTTGGGAAGGACTGCTGTTCTCTTTAAAGTGAATATTTCCCTTTTGCTAGAGGCTTTTGTTAAAAAATGGGTGAATGGAAGCATTTCCGCAGAGATTAAATCTGTTAATCCACAGGCAGTGCTGTGGTGTTTTCCCTAAACTGACCTGCCTGGCTTTGGAGGACATGTGAGAAAATGGCTGTGACACGCTGCAAGCCTGGTGTGTCACTGCAGCAGCAGCTGCTCAGCTGGAAAGGGTATTCGTATAAACTGGCATTTTAGGACAAGAAAGCAACTGTAGCAATAGCTGTGCACCTCATATTGGAGCGTAACTGCTGCAAAGACCACAAAAAATTCTTTTCCTAAGTGTGGGCTTGCCTTCCTCAGTTAATACGTGCAAAAAACAAGCCTGGTGGGTTAGACTTTGCTGGGTGAATTTTGCGTTCGTACACAAGTCTAGCATGACTTATTGCTGGCAAGTCTAACATGACAGTGTCACTTTGAAACAGTAATGAGATCTTATAAAAGCCTTTGTGTCTCATACTAAAAACAAGTAGAGTGAGTATTTTTAAAAGCTGTTTCTTCAGAACAAAGTTATGTGTAATTTTTTTCAGTGTACTAAGTACTTGGTAAGCCATATTTAGTTAACATCAGTGATCAACTATTATAGTGATGGTATTATTAAAATGTATAGTTTATTCTTTTGTGCAGTTCTCTCATTGATTCAATGAACTAATGTCGTTCTTGCTTTTCTTCTCGCTGCAACATTGTTTTGAACAAGGAAAGAGAATTAAACATTTTTTTTACATTAAGCTCTTTGTTGTCCTTGTAAAACAACAAAGTGTTTTACACAAAGTGGCAAAGAAAAATAGGTTTTTATCACAAAATATACAATATTACGAGGTCCAGAAAATTTTTGGCTTCTTTCTAGACTAGTAAGTAATACCATAGCTTTTGAAACTAACTGAATTTGCTGTGGAGCTTAGAACACATTTCATTCGGGTAAAGTTGATTTAGTCTTTGCGTTTTCAAGGTTAGCTGAAAAATGGAGTTAAAAAAATATCCAACTGATATAAACAGTTGTTAGTTACATAGTTAATCTATCAAAAGAGTGTACAACTGAAATATTAATATTGAGGAAAGTTGGATATTGTTTTCTCATGCCATATTTAACAGTACTTTAATTTTTTTTCCTGCCTTAACAGTTTGTCGCAGCTGGAGATCACTTAGTTCACCACTGTCCTACTTGGCAATGGTAAGTAAAATGGAAAGAATTATAGAAAGCTGGCATCCCTACCTGTGCTTTGATGTGTTTCCACTGGGTTCAGTTGTCTCATTTCAGAACAGTACATGGACTCTTACAGTAGAATTTTTATGATGTCTCTATATTTAAGTCAGGTGGGGCTTGCTTACTGCTGTGTAGCACTTGTTGAATGAGGATTTGTTTGGGATTTTTTTGTTGTCCTTTTGTTTGTCTTTCTAAGATTTTAGAGGGCATAAGTTGTTAAATACTGTGAATGCTTCTCATGCAGCATGTCTCCCTGAATTTGTCATGGTGATTGAAAAATCAAAGGCCATGTGCAACTGGAATTGCTTGGAAGTAGTTGTAAATGGTGTATTTTAGACAAGCATTTGTTAATTAAATATGTTCAAGTTGGCCCGCAGCAGAACACTTTGTGCAGTGCTTGTCCTTTGAAATCCCTTATGTATCCCCTGTACGTATGTTTTCTGTACAATAAGGGTGCAAATAAGGTGCTTCCTCACATTCTACCAGTGTCTTTTGTTATGAAACTTATCAGTTCCTGAATGAGCATTGTCTGTGCAGTTGGTATCATCAAGGTCTTACTCTATACTGGGCCACGAATTGCTGAAGAAGGAATTATTATGCTTGAATCATAGTTTCTTGCCCCTTTGCCATCTCCTTCAGAGAAAATATGATGTTGAGTCTGACTTATGTGCCAGATGTTTGAAATGGAATATTTAGAATGTTGCATTATTTCAAACCAAAAACCATGAAAGGTGAAGGCAAGTGCTTGAGTCTTGTGAAATTAAAAAATATTACTTGAGCACTAGTGACTATGGACAGATTTGGTATTTATAGAGGTCTGTTTCTTGCTTTTTCTGAAGTTACTTTCTTCAGACATTTGCGACTATGTTGTTGCTGATCGTAGAAAATTTTATATAGAATAGACTGTTCTGTCAACCCATCTTTGCTTGGCCATCTCAAGATGAAGGTAGTTTTTGAAGCAGAAAATAGTTTTGATCCCTGACCAATTTAGGGGTGGCCAACGTTTTTAACCCCCTGTCTATATCCAAATCTGTGAATAGGGAAGAGTCAAGTCATAGCAAACAGATTCTTAGAGTAGGTCAAGAGGATTATATAAAATGTTCCTGATACACGCTGAAAATAGAAGGGTTCTTTTGTTTGCAGATCATCAAATTCTCAAATGGTGCACTTCATTTTACAGGGCTTCAGGAGAAGAACTAAAAGTCAAGGCTTATCTGCCAACAGACAAACAGTTTTTGGTAACTAAAAATGGTAAGGCTGAAGTTTAAATGTAAGTGTTCTTAGGATTGATGGCATGGTTGACTGTGCTGTCTACTCTACTGGTTGTCTGTATTGCTAAGGGAAGCAAATAGCTTGCACTTCAGGTGCTCTGGCTTCGCAATATTAAAGTTTTTCCTGCACTTCTAAAATCTTTTCCTGAGACCACTTGCTAGTAATGCTTATATGAATAATAGAACTTGCCTTAAAGGAGTAAAAATGAAGTTTAAACATTATGAACCTCTGTCTGTCTTCCTTTCTCCTGTCCTTCAACTCATATCCAGTATCTAAAAGGAAAATATGCTTATTTTCCTCTTTCTTTTGCAAACTGAGGCCATTGAAGAGTTCCCAAAATGACTTTCATGGGGACACTGATACTTCTAGTTCAGATATGTAACTAATGTCACTATCTCTGTCAATAACAATCATATAAATACAATTTTAAATAAAGTTATATCAACTTCAAAGTCATGTATGCGTATTACTTGTGTTGACTACCTTTTTAATGGATAAGAAGGCTAACATCTTGGCACAACCATGAGGAAATCATTTTCTCAAAAGATCTTGTATGAAAATGCATCAATGCCATTAGATGAACCTTTTAGTACTGAGAACAGCCTGAGGAAATTTTTACCTGCAGTGGGTTATATTTTGTGCTTGAATTTCACTTACTGGCTTTTAGAGCCTTACTAATGCACTGTTGTAAAAGTTATTATGGTAGTTGGTGGACAGACTTACATAGGATGGTCCTGATGATTGGATGGCCAAGTGATCTACCGTTTCTCTTTTCCTGCCACTTCTGGGGTCTCCCTCATTGCTCTGATCCTTCTAGATCACATTTCAAAATAATGTGTTCCCTGTTGATTGTGTCACATTGTCCTCTCACCTGAGTAAAAGCTGTGGGCTATGGGTGAGGCTGGGAGCCGTCCTACCAACCTCATTTTTAAAGTCTTTGGAAGACTTCACTGTGACTTTCACACCCCCCTCCTCATTCTCTGAAAGGTCAAACAGCAGCTTTCAAACTCTGCACTTCATGCAGCAGATTTGGTTTTCTCCACATTTCTCCACATTTTCTACATAGTCCTTATTTATGCTGTTGGAAAATGTCTGGTTTGACTTAATCGGATATGCATTCTTTCTTTGACTATTTTCTGAAAACTTTATGTAAATCTGTACTTGAATGGCTCTATAACACGGATGACTGAAGTTACTTTAAATAAGACATTAATTCTAACCTTCTAAAATTCTAGATGTTAATTTAGAACTAAATATACCTAATGTATTGCATGAATAGCCAATGCAAACTTTTAGCAGAATTCTAAAGACAAATCAATTTGGAAAAGTGGTGCCAATCCAGGCAAGATTGTGCTTAAACCAAAAGCTGTTTACCGGTGTGAACAAAAGTAATAGACTGTCTCCAGTTGTTAGCAAATTAGAAATTAATTAATTTCTAATCCTTAAGAGTTTGGGTGAAAGAGTAACAGAAGAATGAACTTTCAAGGCCACTGCAGTTGTTGTATTTTACATGAAATAAAACATCTGCACAGCACATCAACATAATTTTGCAAGTTCATGCTTTTGCATTTGAAGTATAGGTTTAGGATTCCCTAAATAAGGGATATATGAGAGACTGCCACATTTCTGAAGGCCTCGTGGGATAATTTCTTGCTCCAGTCTGGTTTTGTATAAGACTGACTGCATTCATTTTGTTTTGCAATCTTTTGCAGTGCCGTGCTATAAAAGGTGTAAGCAGATGGAGTACTCAGATGAGCAGGAAGCAATTATAGAAGAAGATGATGGTGATGGGGGATGGGTGGACACTTTTCACAATGCAGGTACTCAGAGTCTTGCCTCAGGCTTTGCGTTCGGTAATCTGATTTTCAGTTTCCATTCTCTGAAAGTAAAATCTTTCTTATATACAAATAACTGTGTACTAATATCTAGTCTAGAAGAAATAAGTCATGCTGTCAGTTAACCATTTAATTGGTACATGATTACTCAGCTGTTTAGCCCTGTGGCTGTACGTGCCTGAAACAGGCTACTTTTCAGAGGTGTTGGCAATAATTTCATTATTCTTTTATTACAGTTCTAGAAACTTATTTTAACAAATAAACTGTGTACTATCTCCTTCCTGAGAAAGGGAATCCTGTGAAGATAATGGTGGTTTAAATATTTTAAGAATATGGAAATATTTCTTTATTTTTAAGTTAAGATTGCATGTGAAACTCATTGAGATATATATCTTAACGATGACCTCAACTGACTTAATTGTTTTAGTGTTTCCCATTCTGTTGAATTGTTGGATTGAGCTGAGAGAAGGAATCATTAGAAAATAGTTATCTTAGTATCTGAGGTAACTAGAAGAAGTGGGTGCAGTACTAAAAAGAAAGAAAATATTACGTAGAGAGATGTGTGGGAGATGATGTCTTTTTTATCATAAGTCCTTAGATAAACTTTTGTTGATAAAGAAGTCTAAAATTACTGCCTACATGAATCTATCTCACTGGCTTTTCTAGCAACCTCTTATAAATCCTTTTGCTCTTTTCTAAGAATTGGAAATTATATTAGTTTTAGCCTTGTTTTTTGATGTTCTACAATGAGTTAATAAAAATTCTGTCCTTCACTGATGTTTTCTCCACCATTTCCAAACCCAGGAGGTACTCCTCTCAGTTTTTACTTTCCTTGGTGTAAATTTTCTGCTGCAATATGGAAAAAGTTCTCTGAATAGTTCAACCAGGGTGGGGGGAAAAAGGATGGGAGATGATGCCTTTTGTTTCTCTGGACATACATTTTTCATCATTGTCAGTTCTTAAATGCATCACAGTTCATAACTGAACACGCCACACCAAAGAAATGGTTTGGAATATCTTTGTCATGTCCTTGAATCAAGGATGCAGTCTGCATCCCTGCTGTGAATAGACTTCTCTGCCAGGTTTTTCTTTTTAGGGCTGACTGGTTTGGGCACCATGCTGTGGTAGCACAACTGTAACACTCTGTCTACACCTGGCCAGGTCTCCAAATGCTGTCAGATAAGATAAAAACAAAATCTGTTTCCACCCATCTGTACAGATGTCTTTGATAGTAACACTTGTGGTAGGAAAAAATGTGTTCAGATGATCATACAGCCACAAGAAATGTATTATTTCCAAGCAGCATTAAACTGGCATTTCTAATCTTTAAATAGTTATTTCTGATGAGCAGTAATGTGATTTCAGGTTCATTCTCCACAATCATGTAATTATTTTCAATTAAAGAGTTAATTAGATAAATTTACTCTGTCAAAGCACATTTTTGGCATGTATCCCAAAAAGTACTGGGTGAGAACTGCAGTAAAACTATAAAGCTAATGGGGAGGAACTCAAGAATAGACACTACAGGGATTTGGGATGGTTTTTATTCTCACTTCCTCACAGCTAAAAGCATTGAGTGTTCTCCTGAATTGTGCTTTGTCATTGCTTTCAGGATACTCAGAAATACTCAAAAATGTGTGCCTCTCTCATGAAGTTGAGATCCATTATTGTGATGCGAGTGCCTACCTGAACTCAGTTTTATGCAAAAGTACCTTAGAAATAGAAGTTCAAATATGCAGTATTCCATCAATAAATGTTGTATGTGCTGTGGTGCTCTGTGTTACTGGTGTGGTTTGCTTATGGATGTCCAGCACCGAGCACGTTACCAATACCAAACGAACAGCCTTCTAAATAACAAAATTATTGGGAGAGGTAACTTGGAAAGATGGTATGCTGCTTTCCGAAATCCTTGCACCCTCTTTCTATTCTATTCTCTAGCAGAGAAACAAGCTTTTTTAACACAGACTTCTTGTTCAATTAACAGGTATTGTGGGCGCAACAGAAGCAGTTAAGGAGATCACACTAGACAGTAAGGTACTTGTTTCTAAATTTTCTTGTTACTTTATTATAGGACCTAAAGGTAATAAAGTTTTACCTGTAGCAATTTAGTTCTCCCTGTGAAAGATTAAAATGTACTTTGTCACTAGTTGTCTTGCAGATATACACTGACCTCCGTAGCCCGTGGCATTAGTCTGCAGGCATGTGCACATATGCATTATAAGCGTGTGCATTTCCTTATTACTGTGTTTACTGAGGCGTTTGTCTTTTTAGAATGCCCTTAGGCAGGCTTCTACAGACTGAAAAGGAAGTTCTGTTTACAGATACAGCACGTTAGCGCTTCAAGAAATTACTGTTTGGAGATTCAATGTAAATAAAATTTTATATGGAAAAATAGTGTAGGGATATAAAGCTTTTCTTCGTAATCTTTAACTATTGCAAGCAGCGTTTTAACACATTTGGTCCTGTTTGACAGGCTTGAGCCTTCTGGTTTGTAAGTACTAAAACTGTTTAAATGTATACGTCTTACAAAGTCATCAGTTTCTGCATGTGTTTCCAAAACGTCACTGCAGCAGGAGCAAAATCTGAAACTGAAGTCCTCAGGAAACTGGGAACGGTTGGAAGTACTTGAAATGAGAATGTATGGGCTAACATGTTTAAGAAACGTGAAGAGTGTCACAGACACAAAATGCTTTTAAAGATGAGTTGGTTGATTAAAGTGGAATTCTGTCTGTGTGCTGTGAGAGTTTGTTAAACCATCCAAGCACTAGGCTTTGGATTCTAAAAATTAAAGGGAAAGAGAATGTACCGCCCAGTGCCATTGCACAGTTGTAAACAGCTCAAAATGCTATTGATATGATGAACTGTGAAGTATGTGTACTTCAAGTGAGACTGTGCTAAATGTAGTAAAAGTACTGCTTTTTTATGAGTCGGTAAGGGTGAAAGAAACACTCTAAAAATAGCTAAAGTTGATCAATATTTCTGCATAACACAATACTTGCAAAATGTTACTGGGATTCATAACTCCTATTGTGTGTTTTGAATTGGATTTCACTTCTAATCTATTGTATATAAAAAAAGCTTGTTTGCTTGGAACATGGGTCCAACTTCTTTCTCCTAATGTTCTGTTTGACAATGCATGTTGTAACTTAGTTTCTTACTGCCTGTGGTGTTTCCTGTTTTTTAAATGAAAAAAACAGCCACCTGATGCTTGCAATCAGAGCAGCTTCTAATTCTAATAATTATTTTCAGTATTCTCCTAAAGTCTTCTTGAAACCTGTGTAAATTGAGACCTCTGCCTTCTGAATTTCACCAGAGTTGTCTGTTGGATTCAAATGCTATGCAAGGCACCAAAGAAAAAGTTGTCTGTGGCTCGTGCTGTATTCATTTCTATTGTACTACGTTTCCTTGGACTATGATATAAAAATGTAGTATCTTTTGGGACTCTCTTGTGTTTTAAAAACAATTATGGAATTGGACAGGCTTGTAGTTTGTGGAAATAGATGACACTTTTAGTCATATGATTTAGTTTTATGTATTTGGGCAAGGAGCAGGGAATTGGACCTAATCATCCTTATGAGTCCCTTTCTTGAGATATTTTATGATAACTGTTGCACAGTTGGACTCGGGTTAGGACTTACAAAATCTTAACCTTAGCTGTTTAGTCATTGCCTTTCTGGTGGTCTAGTGGTTAAGGGCGTGGCGCTGTCACCGCGGAGGCCCGGGTTCGATTCCCGGTCAGGGCCACTCCCGGGCAGGTGGGGCTCGTTAGCCCTTAAAGGCAACCCACCTACGTCCTAAGGAGCTCGCTGCCACCGTCCAAGCTCGCTTGGCCCCGGCAGATGAACCTTAGGATTAAAGGGTGGGCTCAGTTCCATGCACACTGTGTCTCACCTAAAAAATCCAATGCGCAGGCTGGAAGGTGGAAAGACCTTCCCCGGATCTTCGCTCGTGAAGACTGGCCATTATTATTATTAGTCATTGCCTTTCATTTCAGATAGGTGGGTCTTTTAACTGTTTAACACCATGTTCACTCTGCTTAGGAATGAAATCATTCCAGATTGCAAATTCAAAGTTTTAAGTGGACCTTTAATGTCGTACTAAGACGAGTTAATAAGCAAATATTTGAGTCCAGTGTAGTATTTTTTAATATTGCAGAAATTATTCTTCTGGTTCACCGAATGTATTGACTGGACTTACACCTTAAATTTGCTGGGGCCGTAAGCTGTGTAGATGCAACAGTCTTTAAAGCATGTTTTCAATTTAACTTCTTAAGGATAATTTAAAAATACCAGAGTGTTCAGCATCTTGTGAAGATGATGATGAGGAAGATGAAGGAGAAGCTGCAGACATGGAAGGTATTTCCTTAAATTGGGTGGGACATGCTTTATTTCAGGCCTTTAAGTAAAGCAGTACACTCTAAGAATCACTCTTTATTTTCATGAAATGCATGCTCGAACGTTCAGCAGACATATGTTCTTTCATATCTTTTCTGTGGTCTTATTGATGCATGTTTACTCTGACTGGTGTGCCAAAACCTGTGTGAATGTGAGTGACTGGGAAGTTAATCTGTGTAGCAGAACAGATCCAAGCAAGTATAAATTAGGGATTTAGCACAGCTTCCTTTCAGCTTCATACCTACACTTTAACTCAATCTGCCTATGTAAAACCACTGAAGGATTACTCATCACCTACTTACTGTAGTCTTGGTCAAATTTTTATGAAAAAAAATAGTGTGGTTTGGGGATTGGGAAGTCTATGTGAATAAAACTTTTTTAGATACATGTAGATTATTTTTTTAAAGGGGTTGTTTATGAATGTCAAATATGATGACTAGCTACAAGCTGAACACAGAATTTTATGGGTCTTCTTTTCAGAGTATGAAGAAAGTGGGCTATTGGAGACAGATGATGTGAGTGAACAGTTCTCTATCTTGTCTGTTACAATGTAAGCACAAGCAAATGAATGAAAAAACAAACTTAGTAGTGGGATTACTGAACCTGGTTTCTTGTGGATATGTCTCCAGACAACCTACTGCAGTAACCTAAACCCTTGGGTTCTCAAAGATTCTGATCACAGACATTTTGGTTGGTTTTGCTAATCCTTTTTGCTCTGCTCACACAGTGCTGTATTCATGAGAAGTAAAAAATGCAGTGGTTGTTCCTGAGGTTTACTCATGGAGGATGAGTGGCTTTTAGGTTCAGTAGATTCTACTAATGCATCAGACTGTCATGAGAGAAAACAGGGCATCATTATTTGTGGTACTATCCTAAGGTCTTCATGAACCTGCATAAACTGAGACCTCTTCCTTCTGAATTTCATTGGAATAGTCTGTTACTTGTGAAAGAAGGTAGGGGGATGTAACAAGGTAGTTGCATACTTCCTTAAGAAATCAGACCTTTTTTGAAAAGTAAAAAAACCCACAAAAATAAAACAAAAAAATACTTGTGGGAGAGAAGCTGGTACTCGTAATTTAAAAATAAAAACAAATCCCAAAAACCTAGGGTTTTTTTTAATGCTCACTTAAGAACATTAATAAAAGTTCTACAGCTTTGCATAACTACTTGGGATGGGAAAGGAGAGAACCCAAACAAGACTATACTAATCTTGTCATTTTTATCTTGAAACAGGCAACACTTGACACAAGACAGATTGTAGAAGCTAGCAAGGCTAAAGTTGATGTTGGAGGGGAAGATGCTATTCTACAGACTAGAACTTATGACCTCTACATCACTTATGACAAATATTACCAAACTCCAAGGCTCTGGTTATTTGGATATGATGAGGTACAGCTCAGTTGGTGTTTTTTCCCTGCTTCTGTAAAATTAGACTCACTGTGTCAAAAAGCAAGGCTGTTTTGTTGCTTATTCACAGCAGAAATGTAAAGGAAAGAATGGTGAGAAAACCTTTAAACAGGCTTGTAGGCAGGACTTATGGTATTAGTAGGAAGTAGGAACAATTTAAATGAAAATTACACTTGGTAACTGAGCACATTTGGAAGGAAGCAAATGGTGCTCTGTCACTGGAGTTTCTGTTAGCACTGTAGAAGTGGTAATAACCTCAGTAAACTCAGTCAAGTAAGTGGGTATGTGTTTCCATCATCTTCAGAGGGAAAGGATTAAATAAATCATTCTTCTCCTTAATAGCTAAATTTCTTGAGTTAAAGTTGGTTAGAACTTACGGCTCAAATGCCTCGGTGGGAACCTAGCTGCTTGTCAAACATACTGACTTTATCATTCCCCTGGTATATTAAAAAGAAAAATCTGTGCAGCACTAGTTCTATAGCATATGGATTTTGTGTACCTTCAGAACTGTTGAATTTAAGGTGCTTACAATTTACAGTGCGTCACATGTTAATGATGTTGGAAAAGAGCAAGATTCTTTGCTATTAATGCTTTTATTTTCCTGTTCCTTTTTCCTCTATAGCAACGGCAGCCTTTAACAGTAGAGCACATGTATGAAGATATTAGTCAAGATCACGTCAAGAAAACAGTGACCATTGAAAACCATCCTCATCTTCCTCCACCTCCCATGTGCTCAGTTCATCCATGCAGGTAAGTCTTTGTTTCTGGTCTGATTCAGCAGGCAGACACAAAGCACTTCAGTGCCCTTGTTAAGGATTTCTGGACATCCTCCACAACTGGCTGCCGTAGTGGTCTGTTAGTTTCTGAGGCAGTATGAAGGGAAGAGTTCAGCAATTCTCAGAATTCATTCCAGTACTCACTGCAGCAAGCATGTTCAGCAGTTAGTGCTGTCTTCTCTCTGATCAGCTTGCTTTTACTCAGCTTCCCTACAGACTCCAGAAGATGGCAGACTACTAGAACTCTGTGGAATAACATTCTGTCCTTGCAGCTGTTTTTTGGGGAGAGTTGAAGCATAATGTGTACTTTGGCAGCAGAAAAAGCTATTTGAATGCAAAATAACAGTTTCTTACTTTATGTTAACTATCTTCTGCTCCCCCAGAAGTCCTTGAAATTTTGCACTTACAAGTAGAGATCTTCTGATTGCCACACAAACAAAACACACCTGTGTTTTTAGGGTGTTTTCTGTTGAATTTTCCACATTTCTCACCAAAGACAGAGGAAGCCTGTAATTTTACTTGCTGCACAGGTATTTTTTCTAGGTCTTTGAAAGGTGCATTCTGTCTTAACTATAGGCTCTCGCATCCTTTTAGGTGTCTTAATGATATAATGATAGAGCCAGTATCTTAAACAGTGTAACTCCTCAGTTTCTTGACAGTATTAAGTTCTTGGAGATAGGAGTTTGGGCGTTTATGTAATTTTAAAAAAAGACACCCTTTGTAATATTGCATATGTTTTTTAAAAAAAATTCAGATTGCCCCTTTAAGTCTTTTAATTTCCTTTGACTTAAAGAAACACGACAGGGATCTTTATCACTAGCTGAGGTGTCAAATAATCAGCTTGTTGTTGACAAGCTTATGGTAGTTTTGTTTTTGCTGACTCAAAACCATTATTTGATTATCAGTCTTGGGAAGGGTATACAATTCTTTTGAGAGAGCAAGGGAACTTTGCAAGAAGTATTTTATGGCTACTTTTGATCTTATCATGAGGATATATATTCATGGACTTAGTAAAGTTTGTGTTTTCTGGAAGCCTTGCTTAGTAAATTGGTTGGGAAGAAGCTTCTGTTGATGGATGCAGGCCAGGAGGGCACTCTCAGAAGAAACGTAATGACCAGATATTTGGGCATGACCACTCTCACTGACTGGGTGGAAGTGTGGGTTTTGTACTGGCCTGTGGTCTCTGCTTAGCTTTGCTAACACCGTTGCAGAGTAAGAACCAGTGTAATGTTAATCTGTGAATTTGGATTGAGTCTCTTCACACGTGAGAGCTCTGTGGTCATGTTTTCATTCTTCCCCTGAAGTCAGTGCAGTGCCAGTTCCTTTGTTATGTAATCCACATCTACACTTGAAGGAATGGTTTGCATCATGAGCGTTGTTTCAATTTTAAGAATGAAAGAGGTGATTTATAATGAGTTGAGACAGATTTGTTGCTATTCTTAAATGTGGAGGAAACATTGTGTCTAGTTCGTCTCAAAAAGCAATCTAGTCGACCAGCAACTACTTAACATTTGAAAGATTTGAGAAGCTAATCTTGAGACTGTGAAGAAAGAGGCCAACAGTGTATCCAAAATGAAAGTTATAAGTATATGTTCTCTTACTGTCCATGGTGAGTTGTTCTATTTTTTTAATTTAATAAGGCTAACAGCTAAGAAGGTCTGGATTTCTGAGGTAAAAAATAATAGCTGAAACTATTATTTATAATAATAATAGCTGCCGGGTCCTGCACTTTGGCCACAACAACCCCCTGCAGCACTACAGGCTGGGCACAGAGTGGCTGGAGAGCAACCAGGCAGGAAGGGATCTGGGGGTGCTGATCGACAGGAGGCTGAACATGAGCCAGCAGTGTGCCCAGGTGGCCAAGAAGGCCAATGGCATCCTGGCCTATATCAGGAACAGTGTGGCCAGCAGGAGCAGGAAAGTGATCCTTCCCCTGTACTCAGTGCTGGTGAGGCCACACCTTGAGTATTGTGTTCAATTCTGGGCCCCTCAGTTCAGGAAGGACATGGAGGTGCTGGAGCAGGTCCAGAGAAGAGCATCAAGGCTGGTGAAGGGACTTGAGCACAAGTCCTACGAGGAGAGGCTGAGGGAGCTGGGGTTGTTTAGTCTGGAGAAGAGGAGGCTCAGGGGTGACCTCATCACTCTCTACAACTCCCTGAGAGGAGGTTGTAGCCAGGTGGGGGTTGATCTCTTCTCCCAGACAATCAGCAGTAGGACAAGAGGGCATGGGCTTAAGCTCTGCCAGGGGAGATTTAAGTTGGATATTAGAAAGAAGTTCTTTCCAGAGAGAGTGATCAGGCATTGGAATGGCCTGCCAAGAGAGATGGTGGATTCACCGTCCCTGGAGGTTTTTAAGATGAGGCTGGATGTGGCACTGAGTGCCATGATCACAGTGGGGTTGGATCAAGAGTTGGACTTGATGATCACAAGGTCTCTTCCAACCCAGTTAATTCTATAATTCTATGATTCTATTGTTTTTAATTCAGCTAGGAAATACCAGTGTTTAGCTACCACTGTTGCTTCCCATCATATTACAAGAATTGTGTAATGTAGGATATTTTTATGATACTAAACTAACTTATCTCTTTCTTGTGACGTGAATATCCTCATGTCACGCGTCAGAGAAAGGAAAGAAACGGCAGTTGAATACCATTGTCAGCTGTTTGAGATTGCTTCTATTTTAAGTAGTTAGTTAAAATTGTTCATCTTGCAGCTCTACTGTAAGTTGTATTTCTTGTCAGCATTTTTATTGTACTGGGAGGAACATAGTCAACTTCCTCATTAATTGCTGTAAGCTACTTTAATCACAATTCTCAGCTTTTTATATGACTGTTACGAAGGGACTATTAAACAACTTAACTACTAAACACATTTACAATTTAACCATAATTACTTGCACTGATTTGAGGGCTTATTTTTCTCCATTTCAGACTAAATGGTCATAGCCTTCTCAGCTTTTCTTCCTTCTTGTATACTCTAAATATCTGCAAGGAAGTGACTAGAGGCAACTGTAAGGAGCAGTGAATCGTAGCCATGATCTACTCTTAGCAGAGTAGATCTTATGGTTAGCTATTGAGGATTCTGAGATGTTACTCCTAATGATGACTTTTCTGGATTTTTACATACCTTCTGTCTCATTGTGTGTGAACAGTTACAGGCACTGAATCAAATTCATAGGTAATTTTTTTTTCTTGAAAGTACACTGTCCTAAAATGTCTTGCATTTTAATCTCTGTTGTGGAAGCTTTTGTTGTTGTCCACTAAACCAAAAGTCCTGTCAAAGGCCTTTTATCTTTTTGAGCTGGGGCGGGAGGTAGTAAGAGGCTGTGGGAATTAATAATTTCTGGTGTTGTGGGGTTTTTTTCCCCCATATGTCAGGAAAGCTTTTATTTTTTACCTTTGCTCTCTGATGGTATGTATTTCCCTTCCAGACCTGTGCTGAATTTCAATATGAGGTTAAAACCAAATATTTTGACTGGCAGCTTTGGTCTACTGCAAAGCAGAAGAGGGGTTCTTCAGCTGAAAAGTGAACATTTCTGATAAGAGCATAGAGGGTCATATAACCAGTCTAAGAAACTAGCTGCTTTCAACTTATTTTTAAGTCCTTAATATATAGTTTAAACTGTATATCAATTTATTTTCAATAGGAACAGTAGCATTGCTGATTTGGAGTATGAATAATAACTCATTTTTGTTACTTGAACCACATCAAGAATTGGTTGATATGCCACAAAGTAAATTAGGTGATTTTAGTATGTGTTTTAAATGTGTAATCTATTTGATAGCTGAAGTGATCTACAAACAGATCCTGGAATGAACACTGAAGAGCACATAGTGTGTTTAGTCATCTGGATTTAGGAGTTATTTCTGGGGAACTTTATTCAGAAGCTTAAAAAAAAAAAAGATTTCTAGATAGCAGGATATTTTAGATTACATTTCTTCCAAAATTATTTCTTTCCATTGCAGTGTGTACATATTCCATATTAATTCCTCCAAGTTTTCTTATAGAAGGTAACTGAAAACAAAAAACAAGCTTTACAAAGTTTATAAAGCACCTGCAAAGCTTTTCATGAATGACTGTATGACAGTAAGAATGACCATTACTGTGACCACTATAGAATTCCAGATATCTGACTAGTCCTTAGAAAACAGGAAAGAACAAATGTCGTTAAGATGTGTGAATTGAGCCAGTATGCTCTTAGACATGTAATAGCTTCAGGGTGACCTGTATTCTGTACCATCAGAAAAAAAATAGTCCACAGTTATGGATAAGGTCAAAACTTTAATTTTGGCAGTGGCCAAGTTCCTATATAGAAGCAACTGGACTTGCCACCTGAAAGGGCATGTGTTCCACACAGATGTCGTGGGGATCCCCTATAAGGGTCAGTTGATTTGCAAAGATCAAGAGCAAATGACAAATGCTGACCTTTAATATTTCCCCAGACTTGCATGTTCCTGTTTACAGTGTGTGTTGGTAGCTTTGCAACAACTTCCTTCCTTGTTTGCTGTTGCTGGCAGCACGATTAACTGCAGAGTAACTACTAAGTGCTAGTTGCTGGTGACCTATTTAGATTGACGTGCTAGTATCAAAGCACGGTCAGAAAGTTATGCAAACTCTGCTCACTACTCCACTTGTCAGTCGGCACGTAGGTTGTTTTAGGATGGGCATCAAACTGAGTGCTGCTCACTAACCTGCAGTGCTGTGTACGTGGATGTCCATAGCCCTGTATGACATCACTGATAAACATTGCCTAAGGAATCAAACATGCATTTGAAACAAAGTTGAAGTATAGATAAAAGAAAGATTAGTTACACTACCTGGGAGTTTGTGTTACAAGTGTATAAATAAAACATAAATACAGTAGTTTTCCCTCTGACTTGGTGTGTTCTTCAACCCCTGGTTTAAGGGGTGTACAAACTGAACACAAGACCATTGCAAATTGTACCTGGTCATTAAAAGACTTGAAATCTTAATCATTAAAGACATTCAAAACCAGACCAGATAAGATCCTGAGCAATTTGTTCTAGTTTGCTGCTTGTTGAGCAAGGAGGGTTGGACTAGATGAAGACTGTCTTTTCCAACTTTAGCTATTCTGTAATTCTCTGTTATATTCCCAGGATCAGGTTTGTACATAAATATTGTGTATTGCATAGTGGGTTGGGTATGTCACTGATGAGAATGTAAAAACTTAGTGACCTGAGGAAATGTTTGTCCTCCTCTGTAGTACTTTACAATAGCAGTCACAAGAGAGAATAAACTACCTTAGAAACTGTTGATTTGCCATAGTAGAATCCAAGTTAGCACCAGAGAAAATCTCCATACCCTAAAATAGTCCTAGAGCAACAGTTGTGAATTTATGTAGGGTTGGTTTAACCTACCTGGGAAACTACGATTTGTTTTAGTGTTTGAAACCTCTTAAGCTTTACAAATTTAAAAGTGCAGCAGAGGCCGATAAGAATGTTGCAGCAGTTTCTAGGTATCTTCTTCAGGAGGAATCTGGGAACTTCTGGTGACTTCCTGCTGGCCAGGATTACCTTCTGGGGTCTTACCTGATGGCTTTCTTGGAGTTTAGCAGTTTAAAATTATACTAGTGTCCAACAGTGTGTATTGGCACTCAGTCTCATTATGACACCCAGTCTCCATTGTGGCATGGAACATTTTTTCCTTTCCTTGTAAGGAGTTTTAAAAATAATGTTACATGCATCACTTAATGTTATCTTTCAGTTACTGTTGGGATTTTATTTTCTCAGTAGACTTAAAATTTCTTCTTGCTGTTTCTGAAACTAACAGTCCAAAATTATTGATTTGCAGAGAACCTAATCTTGCTGAGAGGAAGAGGGTATTACTTTTTCCTTAAAGTATTTTCTGATCTGTTTTTCAGGCATGCAGAAGTCATGAAGAAAATAATTGAGACTGTTGCAGAAGGTGGGGGAGAACTTGGAGTTCATATGTATCCTTTTCCGTTACTGCACCGATTCTGGGAGATTTCTCCAGCCTAAGGAGCTGTAACCTCAAGCTTGCTAAACTGGAATGCAATTGTATGTGAAAGCAGGAACAACTGCTTGGGGTGGCACTTACTGGAGTCCTCGGATGAGCTCCATTGCACAAACAGACTCTATTAAGTAGGCAGGGGGGCCGGGAGTGGTGTATGGCAGGAGCAGTGGGGAAAGTAGGTAGGATTGAAGGGACAGAATTGAGGCCTTGTTTGTAGGGATGTGAAGGAGGTAACTGTGAGCACGAAACAGAGATCCCAGTGTAGGAGGGTGAGACTGGAGATTCACAGACTCCATCTGGACTGTAATCAGTCCTTGGTACAGCTTTGTATTAGCTTTGAATCTGAAATTCATTTCTGAAAGATGTAGAGGTCCCATTATTCTCTATTCTGCATGTGAGCAGTAACTTGGTAAAACAATTAGCTGACAGAAAGGCAATGAAAATAACTGAAACCATTCTGAACATCAAATGCTTCACAATTAGAATTTTCTTTTAGCAAGCTGACTCATCTTAGTTATGCTTTGTAGTAAATGATGCTATGCTTTCTGACTGAAGTAACCTCCATGTTAGAAGCAAGTGTGTCCTTTCAGAACAGTGTTCTTTGCTGCTTTAAGGAAGGAAGGAGGAACTACTGAGCAGCTATAGGTCCCGAATTGGTAAAATTCTCTTTACTGTATAAGCTGAGACTCACTCAATTTGTGCAGCAAGCAACTGAAACTGAACTGGAAAATAACTATCTGGCAAGGTAGTTCAAGTCCCCTACTCCTCAGTAGTTACAAATAGCTTCTTTTCAAGGTTTTTATTACTTTTTTTTTTTGTTATTACTTAACAAATTGAGGCATTTTATTGTGTGATTTCTCTCCTCATTATCATGTAGCTTATGTTTGTGAAGAAATGGTCTGTGAGACTGATACACCAAAATAGTAGGGTTTACTTATATCCAGTACCAATGCAACCTAATAGTTGTTGAAAGTAGTAATTTATTTTAATTCTTCAGTTCCCTGACTGCCTCATTCCCTCATGGACTGACACTTTAAATTATAATTATCCAACATACTCCAGACTGCAAAGTCAGGCCCAGTATGCATTTGAAGGTGATATATACAAGGGAACTCTCCTCTCCAAAGTAAGGTTAGTAAGGTTAATCTCTTCACCCATTAACAGGAAGAACCTCTTTCAAAGGATGGTTTAGAACAGGAGAACCGATTTCTTTTTCTGAGCCACTGAAACGCTGAGGAGGATCCTGCTTTGCCTGGCACAGCAGGAGGGTAGCTAGGGATTAACCTTGCTGGGTGGAATTCACCTGGGCCTTTGTTTACAAATACTAAGTATGTAAATAGTATTTTAAATGTTTATGTGGTGTCTGCAGTATTTATTGAAAATAGCTCCTGGTTTCCTCTCTTAACTTTAAAACAGGAAGATCTGAATGTTTGGTCAAGCATTTGATGTCATTACCAGAATTCTGCTGTATAATTCCCTAGTCTCCAACTGCATAATTGCTAGGTGTTATTTTCCTATTAGAAAGAAATATGTTGAGCTGATCACTGAATGTGAATTCTGCTTTGTTTTACAGGATTTCTAGCTACTGTACATTTTCCTTAATGTGAAACTCAGGTACCTTCTTATTTTCTTGAAATTTGTACAGGCGGTCATTCCAACAATAGAATATGACTACACAAGGCACTTTACAATGTAACTAAAATAAGAGATGTACTCCTCTAATTATAAAATCTTTTTTTAAATAACCCATACATGTGACTTACACATTATACACAATTTCTGTAACTAATCTTTTATCAACTTGATGCATTAAAATAAAATGTTCCATTACCAGCCTTTTTAATAAAAATCTTTGTGTGTAATATAAATAAATCACGTTCATTCCGATACAGACGCTGCACTAAGAAGTGGGATTTTTTTTCTCCATAATTCCTTCAATTTCATTTCATCAGAAGCCTATTTTTGTGTATGTTAGAAACTGAAATCTACCTTTATAGTAGAAGCCTAATGCTTTTAGCTTCATTGTCGATTCCTGAAAATGTGAATTTTCTTCCCCCCCCTATTTAAATTCACTTGAGGGTTATGTGGGTTTAGTCCATGCTTATGAATGGTTGTTTCCTCTAGCTAGAAGAGGATTTTGATAGCTGAAAAAAATGAGCGATTGATTGTCTTGTTAGGAAAGTTTGACTACATTTTGAACTGAAATAGGTGTAACTAACCAATCTTTGAAAGGTGGGTTAGATTTACACTTGAGCAAGACTAGTGTTTTGAGATGGAATATTTTAGGAGACAAAGCAGGAATATTGGTATGTAGTCTGTTCATCTTCTAATAAAGACAAGAACAGTCTTATTGATGAAATTACAGCTTGAGGGTAAAGGAGAAGGTTGCAGTGGCAGAGCGAGGTTCAATCTTGATTATTTGTCTGACTCACCTGCACTAATTGGTAGTCTAATAACATGGTTTCCTCTTTGGAGTAAACATAAACAGTAATTTATGAGTTCGGATATTGTAGGTGCATCCAGGCTTCAGCAGGCACTTTCTCCACTGTAAAATGTAATGTTTTTAATAATGAAAATGGGAGGATAGGACCATCATCTCTCACTATATATATGCATATATATTTATAGTCATTATGTTCACTTAAACTGGCTTTTAGGACAGCATCTTTGTCTCCCAAACATCCATCTTTCATTCTGCAAGGTAATCAGAAGTTAGGTGTCTGCAGTGGACTGAATTTGCTGTTGGGTAGGAAGTTTGGTCGCTGTCCTGGCACAGCTGGTCCCTGTTTTGGCTGTCCTCTGTACCATGCTCTTACTTAGATGAGAGCCTGTGATTAGTTCTGTGTTCTCTGCTTAAATTGGCTTTCCTCTTTTGATATCTATCTTCACTTCCTCTTTTTTGGACTATATCTTAGGCAATGTCTATGGAAGTGGGCTGAAACCTGTTAAAATGTAACCACACCCACTGAGTCATGCCATAGGATTTTTCGTAGATTAATGTCAAAGACATTTTGGGCTTTCTGGTAACAAAGGAAGTAGCTGTCCTCCACCCAGTAAAGAGGGGAGTTTGGAGGGGAGCAAAGAGGAGGGAGTAGGACTTAAAATAACCAATAATGATGTATCTTTTTTTCCTTTGCTATGTCAGAATCTTTTGAAACATCCTTCTCTCTGAAAGGTGTCTATTCTTCTTTAGGAAGGTGAATTAGTTTCACCAGTCTCCAGTAAGTTGTCAAATATCATATTATTCCTTGTCAGGCTGTTGAGTCAGTGGTGTGATTTTTTTTATTTTTCTTTTAAGAAAAAGTATAAACCAATGAAGGCCTTTTTCTCTGACCCAAGCAGAACAGAGGTGTAGCAGAACTGAAGAGAACTAGCCAATGGCTTCCAACAGCACCATGATATTTAATGCCTGATGGCATTCTTAGCACAGAAATGTCTGGTGTCACAAAACCCAAAGCTTGGTGACTTGTACGTGGTGCTCTGCTTGGCTGCATATCAAAATGGCTGCACCTGAGCAAGCAAATCTGACCTGGGTACACTTGCAGCAGTTGTACTGTACCTTAGTCCTCCCCTTCTTTTGGGACTAGTACTTCAAGTTCCTGATAGAACTGAAGAATTAGTGCTGTAGGAACTACTATAAACATTTGCAAACATAGTAGTAAACCTCAGTTATAGCTTCTGTCAAATCCTACATGATCACTAATGGTCTGAATTTTGTCTCTGCATCAGAATACCTTTTGAGAAGTTCTGCTGTGCTGCAGTCCACTTTCCTACTGCACATCTTATAGCTCTTGTGACTCTTTATTTGCCTTTTAGATCTCTACCTCTTGATCTTGGACTTTGAGTACATTCCCCTTTACAGATTCTGCATGCAGCAAAGATGTGGATGAAATTTTGATTGTACTGAATCTAAAAGTTATGCACAAGGAATGGGTAATGGTGCAAAGGGTATAACCTCACAGAAGTGAAAAATAATAACCATCACAAGCTCTATGGTCAAACTTCACATACCTAGTCCTCAATTTGCATGAAATGCTTTTAAAATACCAAAAAATACTTGCTTACAATAAAAAATAAGTGTAGAAGAGAAAAAAAAAACAACAAAGGAGTAACTTCCAAGCAATCTGTGGGAAGTTCAGTCCTGTATTTAGTCTTCTAAAAGTCTAATCGAAGTCTAAGCTATAAATAATGGAGGGTGAAAATATTGTTTAAACAAACAAGGTAATTTCAACTTTGTCCTTCTGTGACTGCATTTTTACATATGGGAACATGGAGCTTGTTTAACCACCTTGTTTAACAAACAGCCTGAGCCACTGCTGGAGAACTAGATTGCCCTGAATTTGGCTGTGTGGTGAAGTCTGTAGGGACAGATACAATTTACTGTCATATGCTAAAAGCTTACCGGTTTCATGTTTCAGAAAGAAACACACCTATCTGCTTTTCTGTTGAAAAATAACCTTCTCTGCTACTAACTTTTTAGAAGTGTTTGAAGTCTACTATTTGAAAGAAAAAAACAAACCTGGATGTAGAAAATTCAACTATATGAAAGAAGAAAAATTTAATTTGTCCAGAATATCATACCTATTCTTGGAAGTAGGTATGCATACAACTTGATAAGAGGCTCTCTTTTTGGTTTTGATAATTCATTTGCAGCAAGGATTTATGATAAGAAGATGCAAATCTTCCTAGTTGCAAACTTGCACTGATATCGTTACTGTTGTTATTCTCTACAGAAAGAAATCCAAATTGAATATGCTGCTAGACTGACTTAACATGAGGGCAGCTGCTCCTGTGTTGCATATCACTTGTAAGCCTGGGCAAATACAGAAATCTCTTAGTAAAGAAGACAAACTGGAACACAGAGAACACAAACACTGGGTAGGAGTAAAATTCTTTGTCGAGCCAAACTGGAAATTTTCTTGCAAAAATTAAACATACAGAAGGGGAAAAAAATATTTTGTTTGGGTCAGCCCGAAATTTTGAACCACACATCATTAATGCAGTTTTTGAAGAGAGGAAGCTAGTGTATCCTCTTCTCTTTTTGTCCATTAAAAGGATTTTTTTTCTGAACATGAGCCAACAGTCTTAGACAAGTTTGTTAAAGCACTGAAATTACATTTTATAATACCTAGAAAATAAATGTATTTCTTTTTTTCTGAAACTGCATTGAATTCAACATTTCTGTGCAAATAGTTTTGAGTCCTGCTAAATAATTGGTTTTGGCAAACATTGACTGGAGAAACACACAGTTCTAACAAAGGACACGTGCTTTTCTCCTAAAGAAAAATACAGGTTTAAAACCTGTAAATGCATTTAGGTTTAAATCGACATGATTACCTGTCTTATGAGCCCTTTAGTGCCAGGGAAATATGAAACACCCTTCTGGGTTCTTACTGCCTTGTAGTGTGTTTATGAATGCAGAAGTCACACAGCCTGCCTTCCCTTAACAGAATGTGTTCTTGTGAGGGCTGTCACCAAAACACATGCGCATCTTCCTTTTGTATAAGTTGTTATCTGAAAGAAACCCTAAATTTCTCTGCCATCTTTTTGCCTCCTCATGTGGTTTTTGGCATGACACACCTACTTTAAACTTCTAAAATGAGCTATTTCACAGATTAACCTTTCTTGGCTTTAGTACCAGCTTGCAGAAGTGAAGATACTCATGTGATGATTTCTGTTCCCAGTTCTGCCTGGAAGATTTGGTAAGTGCCCCCTCTGTCTTTTACCTGCTTCAGAAGCACGTGTTCACTGCTGATCAATAATTAACTCCTTGTTTGCCCATGAAATCCATCCACTCTACACTAAATAAAGTGTGCCCACTGCACCATGTGCCTTGATTTATGTGTTTGGATGAGAGACAGAGATCTCTGCTAGGGCATAATTAGCAATCAATTCCAGAATTTTTTACAACCTTTTCTTCCCTCTCTGTATGATCTCTATCTCCCTCTTTGTTGCTGTAATACAGTGGTAAAAACTGATGGCAGCCATCAGGACACAAGTGCCTGCTGGCACTTAGGGTAGTGTTTGTGATGAAGTAGAACCAAGTTTGTTGTGGGTCAAAACGAATAATTTGCAGAAAGTTGCATATCCCTACTCTACAACTCTTTGGAAAGATCTATTCTTTATTGCTCAGACTCAACCTAGGCTGTTCTGGGTGAAAAACTGGCAATGCCAGTTAATTTTACAGGTCAGCTTTAGAGCAGGACTGCGAGCATACTCTTTTAGTATGTTTTCACATGTAGCATAACAAGAATCAAGATTATAATTACTAGGTGTCAGAACAGACAGTAATCTCACCCAGTTAAAAAATGCAGACCTACTTTTATCATTAAAAGGTATTACTTATGCTTCTCTTTCCATGCTTTGTTTTCATATGGCATTTCCGTACATTGGAAAGATTGCTCATTGTGCTGCAGAGATTGTCTTACCAGCCTGGACTAGACCCACACTCCTCTGTGCATGGCTTTTGATGACCTTTTGATGTTGCTGGTGAAATGTAATTTACATTTGAACACGTGGGTAGGCAATGAGGATAAAATATGAAGTTTGCAACATGTGCAATGTCGTGAAGTAGAAGAAAAGATAACAGCTAAATGTATGAGTAGCCAGTAAAATTGCATAGTCTTGGAAGACTTCTGCCTGACAAATCTCTTTTGTAGTCACTTGTCCTGTGACTAATAGTATTAGCTTGCAGGTAGCCAATGCTAAATAAAAAAATTATATGTATGTATTAGACTTTTACCACATCAGACACAGGATATAATTGCAGATATTAGAAATTAATGGTCAGGTGGAAGGGAACAAAGTCTTTGGATTATTAATAATGATTTTCAGAACATGGTGAAACTTCCTAAAGCCTAGAGACAATGTGATGTAGCTTAAATAAAAAGAAA